AAGGTGAAAAAAATTGACCCATTCTTAATTATCTTGATTCATTAATTGATTGATAGCTTACATCCTGGAGACGGGAAAAAAAGACCATTGCTTAATTACCTTGATTCATTAATTGATTGATTAACTATTTACATCTGAAGGCATTAAAAAAAAAAAAAGACCGTTGCTTAATTATCTTCTTTTTTTTTGCTAGCAATTTCTTATTTACTTGGATTCATTAATTGATTGACAGCTAACATCCGGCGAAAAAAAGTAACCGTTGCTTGATCATCTTGATGCATTAATTGATTGATTGGCAGTTTGCATTTAAAGCACAAAAAAAAACTGTTGCTTAATTATCTTTTTTTATTAATTGATTGATGATTGGCAGTTTGCTATTTATCTTGATTCATTAGTTGATTGATAACGTACATCCTGAAGGCAAAAAAAAAAAAGAAGAAGAAAACCGGTGCTTAATTATGTTGATTCATTAATTCATTGATTGACAGCTTACATCTGAAGGCAAAACAAAAATGACCGTTGCGTAATTTTTTTTGGCCAGCAATTGTTTAATTATCTTGATTCATTAATTGATTGACAGTTTATGCCTTTAAGGCCAAAAAAAATTACCGTTCTTTAATTACCTTGATTCATTAATTGATATGGATTGATTGACTGACAGCTTACATGGCCAAGAAAATGACCGTTCCTTAGTTATTTTTTTGGGTAATTGTTGATTTGGCCAAAAAAATATAATTAATGATTTAATTGACAGCTTGCATACTAGAAAAATAAATGACCGTTGCATTGCACCGCCAAGACCCTAATTTATATGCCAGGCCCGCGCTCTATGGCTTGATGATCAAGCAACTTTTCTATTGCATTTGCGGAAATCGACTTCTGGTTCTTGATTGCTCGCGGCAGAATCCCGAGGGTGCTTTTTAATTCTTGATTGGCATTTCGTTGAAATTGATGACGGAAGAGAAGTTCAAGGACGGTGCCGTTAATTATTTCCCTTGGTTTGGGATTTGATTGTTTAGGCAATTGGGAAACATGGCGGAAATTTTTCAAGTGATGGCATATAGAGTTCGACCGCTAGACAGAAAAGAAATTTGATGAATCTTTTATGGCAAAGCTATCTAAGATTGCTGTCTCTGAGATTGTACCTTCTAAGGTCTCAGTTTTCATTCAGGAAAATTCGGTACGTAATTGCTACTTTAGTGGCATAGCTTGCAATGTATAATTTAGTTTCACTCTTTGTCAGATATTTACAATGGCATTTTGAAATCTGCAATTCGGATGTCTTTAAATGTTGACGATGGTCCTCGCTCGCACTAGTCACTGTTCACCTGATGCGTTTATGTTAACGTAAACATATTAAGGTTTGGTAGAACTTTACCAGAGTACTTTTAGACACCAAATTTTAGAGTTTCACCTCTCTACAGCCCTGTAAGTTCGTCCCTTGTGCATCGTTTTCTTGTTATGACAGTTATCTTTGGACATTTTTAATTCTGCGCTTTAAAGAGTTTGGTGTACATGACTAGTTGCTCTGCTTCTTCTGCAGGAACTCAACTCTAATTGGCTAGCAATGGGCCTGCTTGTTGCAAATTGGATCACATTTACCTGACATAGTGAGCTATTTTCTCTGCTTTTATTTTACTACAATGATTTTTAAATATTCTTTATTTTAATATAGAACGAACGATGTGGCTAAAGAGATGGTGGAGACAGGTAGAAAGAAAAATATTGTTAGATAGAGCTCTCACATATATTTGGATATTAATCAATGGAATCCAAAAAAAAAAAAAAAAAGAATTATCTGCCTTACCGTTTCAGCTTTGTAGGAAATATCGGTAGCTTCTATTTGTTATTCTTCATTGTATTTTCACTTCTCCTACGTTGTCCTGGGTTCTAAACTGCGTTCTCAATCTTCTCTCTTTCGCCTGCCTCACTCTTGAATAGGAATTGCAGATGACGGATGAGATTTATCTTCATTTATCAGGGCTAACTTCAGCATTACCAGCTATGGTCCAAATTCTTGCAGAATTTGCTTCTTTTGACTAGTAAATTGCAGAATAGTAAATTGTTTCTCGGATTTTTTCTGCATTTAGGACTGATTTTTTCTACCTCCTAAATGTGTTACAACAATGCAGATCATTCACAAATTCTATCAATTCTCGGCAATGTGCGGGGATGTACACTGGCCAGTTTTTTTTGCCAATGGTATGGCAAATTTTATCCTTGATAGCCAAATTATTCAACATTAAACATCTAGTTTCAAGGTTGGATGTCGTACATTTTTCTACTTGTTTTGAAATGTTCGCAGTTGTACATGGATGTGTGATGCACAATCGCTAAAATTATAATTGCCTGTGAAGTTACTTTGAGCAAGTTTCATGCCCGTTAGGCAAAATATAATACGTCATATAAATCTCTGAAGGTTCCTTCCAAAGTCAAATCATTCATTTGGGGGGCATATTCAATAATATTGATTCTAATAATATTTTGCAGCGTCTTTCATTATAAAAAGAAATATTGTGTTGCAGATTTGCTGGCCTAACAAGGTTGTCTCCGACATTTTTGTGATGTTTTTCTCTCATTCAAAAACAAATGCGTTCAAACATTTTGTCACGTTTGTTTAATTGCATTCATTTGATTCATATTTCTTTTGCTTCTTTCAACTTGCTGGATTTAGGTTCGGGTAGTATCAATGGAAGCCTTAGGTGAGATGGTTGGTCTTATAACACGAACCAATTGAAGGCATCTTTGCCTGGGCTTATTCCTAAGATATTGGATTTGTAAGATTCGCCTACATATTCCTTCAAACTGCATATTCATTTGCCCTTTTATTTTTTCCGCAAAGCACTTCGTGTATTGATTTTATGATTTTCTCATTGCATGAGTATGTTTCGGTGCAAGATAGAAATACCACAAATATTTAGAGTAACCACAGTCTTTATAGTACGATTCAATTTTCTTCTTTCATGTTTTCAGGAATCAGAAGAATCAAGATGTTTGAGGTAGCATTAAAAAGTGGTTCATACTCAAAAACTCCCGGTTAGTTGAGTATCTTTGTCTTAGTTCTACTATGTTTTTTGGCCGCATGTAGTTTCATCATGTTACTTAGTATTCAAAACCTACATGTTATTTTTATTTAATTAATCATATCATTTAGGTTAATCTCAGCTGTTATTCTGAAATTTCAATTATTCTCTTGTTCTTTTTTTTTCCCCCTTTTTTTTTAAAAAGGAGCTCTTTCGTTGAATTTCTTTTCGTTAATAAGTGAATGTGCATACAACAAGGGGGAAAATCGTGTATGACCAACCTTGCCTTGTGAATTACTGGTCTAACCTGATATTGTTTACTTTTTTGGGCTTTCTTTTCCTTTTCACATTTTCCTTACTATTTCTCATCGTTCTATTACTGACATATTGATATATGCCGAGGCATATGTGGTACTGAGTGTTGTGGTACTTAGCTGTGGCTATTGTGAAGAAAAAAGAATTATGTCCATTCCCTTTCCAGCCTTGTAGGCACATGTGTATCCTAGCTATCTTTTTTAAGTCCCTAATATACTTTTTTCCTTGAGCAGCAGTACCCATGTAATATGCTCATTGTATACACAAGAATTTCTAACATTTTTTCATGTCTGTAAATCGCATTCATTTGATTCATATTGTCTTTTGCTTCTTTTAACTGGTTGGGATTTAGTTTCGGGTGGCATCAGTGGAAGCCTTAGGTGAGATGGTTGGTCATATTCATTGCTTATGTTTTGGTGCGAGACAGGAATACTACAAATATTTAGAGTAGCCAAAGTATTTATAGTACGGTTTGATTTTCTTCTTTCCTCTTAAATGCATCTTTACTATCAGAAAGTGGTCCTGCTTTGCTTGATTTTGAGGTAGCATTAAAAATAAAGTTCATATTAAAAAATTCCCGATCAGTTGAGTATCTTTGTCTTGGACTCTAGTTCTCCTATGTTTTTTTGGCCTGTATCATTATGTTACTAGGTTTTCTCAATCAAAACCTCCATGTTATTTTTATTTAATTAATCATACCATTTAGCTTCATCTCAGCTGTTATTATGAAATTTCAATTATTCTTTTGCTCCTGAACCCAAAAAAAAAAAAGGCTCTTTCATTGAATTTGTTTTCGTTGATAAGTGAATGTGAATTACTGATCTAACCTGATATTGTTTACATTTTTGGGCTTTCTTTTTCCTTTTCTCATTTTCACTACTAAACATATATGCAATGTAAATTGTCTAGAATTAGACGTTGATCAAATATTTCATGTCATTCTACTGAGTGATGTAGTACTTGAGCATATGAGTAACAGCGATGTCTTAGATTTGGCTATTGTGAATATGGGTCTGGAATATGGTATAATACCACTGGCAGACAGTAGATGGATCTGAGAAAAACTGAACTTGAAATTGTCAATGCTGTTCTTTGTTGCTCCTTGGAAGCCTTTCTTTGCTGAATTAATTATTTAATGAGGTATCTGAACTCTTCTCTTGCGTTAAGCGTGACCTATGCATAAATGTAGCTGGCTTAGTTTATTTCTTTTCCTTGTACATAGTTGCTTTATCTGTTATCTTTTAAGAATTTGAGTTGAGAAATTTTTTTCTCCATCTATTTTTAAAAAAAATTTAGTTGATACGTAGAACCTAACAATGATTCTGTCAACCTTTCTGCATGTAGTTTGTATTAATTATAAGGGTTAATATAATTTTTGGTCACTCAAATTTGTCTTCATTTTGATTTTGATCCCTTAAATTTCTTTCCATTTAAAATATTGGTCCTTATAACTTAATAAAAATTTCGATCATTTTGCCCCTCAAGGGACCAAAACCTATGGGGTTTGAAACTTGAGGGACCAAAACCAAAATAAAGACAAACTTGAGAGACCAAAGATTACATTAACCCTTGTTATAATGATAATAGGAAAGAAAAATCAGATTTCCCAGTGGGATTGAAGGTAATTCTGCCCATTTCATTAGTATTCAATTTCGCATATCATAATTTCTGTTTCTTGCTCGTCATAACTGTTAGATGACTTTTTTTTTAATCTTTTCTATTTCATGTTTGAATTCCTTGAAATTGGTGGGGACCATTATTTTTGTGTTTGATGGTTATAATTCACGTTGTTCATTTTTCTTGAGATAAATGGGAGATTGTTATTAGTGACTGAGGGTGGCAAATAGGGTGGCGGATCAGAATTGCCCTTTAACCTGCTCAGGATAAAGTAAAAGGGTTTTAATACAATTGAGTTGTTGCAAATAAAATAAAAAAGTGATGACAGTGTGGAATCTCGAATTTATTTTTCATTAGAACATTTGCTTTTATTTCCGTATTTAATAATCTAGAACATTTTCAAGTTCTTTGCTTTTGTTCTGTTTGTGCATCGAGGAGTTTCTTTGTCCTTTTTTGCCATGAGCGTCGAGGAGTTTAACTCCTCTCTAGATTCGACTTACTGTACATATGTAGATTCACAGGTTGTATTCTATTCAAATCAATGAGGGAAACATTTTCGTGTCATTAATTCCTGACAAGCCAACTTCTAACCTTTGGTATATAAAGCAAAGGATGCACTCAAGTTGCTTTTGCTCCCTTTGTTAACGGAGCAGAGTCACGCAGCTTGGGCATCAATGAAAGATGATTTGAAAGTTAGAACTAAGAATGTGAGAAATTAGCACCTGAATTCCTGATAATTTGCTCAGAATTTTTTGTGTGGCCATGATCATATGTTTAGAACTGAGACTTTCCTAGTACTATGTAATCCTTGCACTAAAGTTTACCAGTAATGTGGCCCCAGAAAAAGAGCAGAGAAAAGCTTCATAGTTTGACGTGCGCGTACACACGACACATGCTGATCAGTAAAATGAGTGCTTAAAACGCATCCTACTAGTATTAGGATAATATGCTACAGGCCCAAACTTAAAAGCCATGTACTTGGATAAGAGTTCAATGCTTCTTTTCTTTTTTGCTTTTCATTTGCTTTTGTTTTCTCTTCTGTATTTTTATTTAGAGTTCCAATTCTCTCATGATTTTTTTCCTTAAAGAAAAGGATGCGTAATTTATTGTAAACTGTATGACAGATGTATAGTGAGGGACGGTTTCTGACAGATGGCTGTGTATCCAGATGTAAATGTAAGTACCTAAACCTCTTGTGATATTCCATCTTCTTGAAGTTATTATTTCTTTGCTTAGTTTTTTATTTGTTTTACTTCATTAAGGAAGGAGATTGGTTAAAATGAGAGGGAAATTAAACTGCAGAGACAGACTCTCAGCCTATAATGAAGTGTTAAAAATATTGATGCAATAATGCATGCCGATCTCTCCAAACATCTTTGAATGCATTATTGCCGTAAGTTTGACTTAATTGAGGGAAAAACTCAAACAGACTAGCTTAGAAAAACTACTTAAATTATATGCATCTATATCCTGAGGAGAGTGCATTCGGTTTGAGCTAAGATTCACGGAAAGTCAAGAGTAATTTACTCTTCTATTTCTACAAAACCCTATTCACAGAAACTAATCCTAACAGATATCATGTTGAAAAGGAACTGGCATCAATAAATTCATACTTGAGAAATGAAAAATGAATATGATTGGAGTAAGGACTTGTCTTCACATTGTTATCATCTTTCATTCTATTAAATTATCTTCTTTTATTTAAAAAAAAGGAAAAAATCATGTTTCTTTAATTTGATCATAACTTCTTCTCCTTCGTTTTTTACCGTCAGAAAAGCAGGTCGAGGGAAAAACCATTGACCTTTAGTGCACTTTGTGTTTTGAAGCACCTTTTGCCAAGGTTTCTTCTTTTCTAATTCTCATGCTAATTATTATTGATTCTGTAATAAGAGCTCACCAAAACTCTTTGTGAAGGTTGTCTGCACCTTGGCGTGTTAGAGGGCCTTTTCTAGTTGTAACCGTAAAGTTTCTATTAGATGAGCAGAGTTTAGGCGTGAAAAATGGCCCTTTCAGCGGTAAATCGATATGGGTTAATTTTCTTATTGTTTCTTTCAATATTGTACATCTTTTGTCCTGTTTGGTATGTTAGAAAACTTTTTGGTTTCTTCCATATTGGAGATTTGCTCTTTTGTTTTGTTTTGTTTTTGTTTTTGTTTTTGTTTTTGTTTTTTGGGTGACAGGAGATTTGCTCATTTATTGTTAGTTAATTGTTGTCATGGCCATTTGCAGAGTTGTTCTTTGAATACGCAATTGTGCTTTGCCAAATCATATTCAGAGTAATGTTGAGAGGGTAGTGCGAATAAGGGAGCAGAGGTACACATTTGTTCTCCTCCTTACCATTTTTCATCTATTTTAAACTCTCCAACTTTTTTGATAACTAAACTTCCCAACTTTAAGTTGTCATGATTTTTATAAGAATTTTAAGCAGTGTTGCTTTCCTCTTTGATGGTCAATTTTTTCAATACTGCTTTGGCCGTTTTTCCCCGTTTAGAGCAATACTGTCTGCTTTGCATTGTAGTTCTGCACTCATTATTGTCGGAAGAGTTTCCTATAATGATGTTATTGAAGCCTCCCATGTTTTGATCTCTTGTATAGTATGATCTTTATATGAGAAATTTCTGGTGTTATTTAAGAAATTCACAGCCGAGTTTCTATTTTTATTATCTTTTCCCAACTTCTGAAATTTTAAAATTTAAACAAGAGAAAATTAATCCATAAGTCCCTTTAATTTTATCAAATTATGGATCAGGTCCTTCTAATTTATTTCCTTTTAATTCAATTTTTATTGTTTGCTCCATTAAAACCGCAAGTCCCTCTACTTATTGTCCCCCATTAATAGATAGATGCTCTCGACGCTGTCCGTTTCCATTTCTTTAGGTCATGACTGACAAAGAAAGCAAGTAATTGCATTTCATTCTAGATTCTGTGTTCCAATTTTATTCTTCAAATAGGAAAACATAAACTTGATGAAGATGGTTCTTCCGCTTTCTCTCATACCCCTTCTGGCCACAATCGTTATTGCTCTCCCAGTCGGACATAATTATATGCCTTCACCAAATGGACAACAAATCACCAATCCTCTCTTCTCTCTTTAGAGCTCCTCCCAGAAAGCGTCCATAGCAGTTCTTGCCTTACTCATGTTTTCTCCCCAAGACCCTTCTTTTCACACCAGAGGTGATATCTTCTTCAATATTAAGACGTCTTCCCTTGGTTATTTAGTGAAAAAATAATCACGAATTAATTGGTTAAAAAAAATTAGAGGGATCTAATTCAAAATCTAGTGAAACCATAAGGATTAACAAATTAATTTTTTTAAACAACGAATGATTATTAAATAAATATTTTTATTATTGACAAAAAATAATTTTTTTATTTTTATTTTATCCTCTTTCCCCATAAAATCTTTTCTAAATAAAAACTGGAACAAAATTCCTTTTCTCTCCTGAAACCACACAACTTATTAAAACATTATTCATAAAAGATTCAAAATAATAGAATGATACTAGAGCACTCTTAGATACCAACGTTTTTGTTTTTCCACTATTAAATAAATTATTGTCTCACCTCTGTATAGCCTTGTAAGTTCATCCCTCGTGCATCATTTTCTTGTTATAAAAGTTATCTTGGGACATTTTAATTAATGGCAAGGAGCCTACTTGTTGCAATATTAGTGGCTTCTAATTGTTATTCTTCATTTTATTTCGCTTCATCTACTTTGTCCTGAATTCTAAACTGGGTTCTCAATCTTCTATCTTTCGCCTGCTTCAGCCTTACCAGCCATGGTCTAAATTCCTGCAGAATTTACTTCTTTTTTGACCGTAAGTAAATTGTCTCTTGGATTTTTTCTGCAATTACAATTTTCAAGTATTTTTCTTTTTGAGGCAGCTTCAGTGTGGCAAATTTTGTTGTGCTTTCTTGATAGCCAAATGATTCCAACTTGAAACATCTAGTTTCAGGGTTGGGTGTGGTATATTTTTCTACTTGTTTTGAAAAGTCGGAATTTGTAGATGGGTGTGTGATGCACAATCTCTAAAATTAAAATTTCCTGTCAAATTACTTTGAGCAAGTTTCATGAAACAATACACCATATACACGTAGACATGAAACAATGGGCTGCAATCAATTATAGACATGTCCAAAGGTCCCTTCCAAAGTCAAGTCATTCATTTGGTGTTTCTTTTTTTTTTTGGGGGGGGGGGGTTGAATATTCAATAAGATTGATTCTAATAATATTTTGCAGCGTCTTTCATTATGAAAAGAAATATTGTGTTGCAGATCTGCTGGCCTAACAAGGTTGTCTCCCGACATTTTTGTGATGTTTTTCCTTCATTCAAAAACAAATGCATTCCTATTTGCTTTACCTATTAGCTAGTTATCCAACGTGATAGTCTGAATCTTAAATCAGCATTTAAAATGGAGCCAGGATACTGCCAAAACTAACATGCTGTAACAAGAAGAAGCTTGTATTACGCCTATTCAAGGTAGATAGAATTTCAAATCAAACTTTACATTTTTTCCCAAAAGGTTTTTCAAAACAAGAAGAAGCAGATAGGAATCCATTTGGCAGTATCCTGGCTCCGCTTGATTCGTCTTGGTTCTATGGTTTTTAATAAACTATGATGCCTTTGTCATTACTTTTAGCTCCCACTTTTGCACTTTAGTGAAACAAAATATACAATTTGTGCTCCTTTTGTTTCTTCTTGTGAGCAACTCGCAGATGTACTATCAAAGGATTTAATTGTCAAACTTGGCAGGGAAGTTATTCTGACCAACTTTGTGGGGAGTGTTAGTAATAATTTAAATAAAGTATTTCTTTAGGCACATGTATCTAATAGCTATCTTTTTTTAAGTCTCTAATATAATTGTCTCCTTGAGTAGCAACACCCATGTAATATGCTGTGAGCTGGGGAACAATTTGAATAGTCTGTGAGTATTCTTTTATCTCGTATCGATAGGTTACAGGATTATATATACACTGCAAGAGAAAATAAAAGAAAATATAATAAAGCCTAATAAACCTATTTACAACAGTAGGAAACTAAAGAATAATGAATCATAAATAATTCCATTATGGAGCTTAATTTTTAGGATTTTCACACTCCTTCTCAAGTTGGATCATAGATGTCAATCATGTCCCACTTATGTACAAGGTCTTCAAATTTTTCTTTGTGTAGGCCTGTGGTGAAAATATTTGCTATTTGATTCCACATTGATACATGTATGAAGGTAACCAATCCATTATCTATCTTTTCTTGGATAAAGTGCCCATCCATGTACAACTTCATCGGAAACTCCATTTGTATTTTGAGTTCTTCCAACACTCTTTATCCAAATTAATTCACATATTTCTTGAGCGATTGCCCTATATTTCAATTCGGCACTGCTCTAGGATGCTACATTTTGTTTCTTGCTTCTCAAGATGACCAAGTTTCCCCAAACATAAGTACAGTAGCTTGTTGTGGATCTTCTGTCAGTATAAGCACCTGCATAATCAATGTCTGTGAAAATCATCACACTTCGGTTAGCGTTTTTTTTCCATGCACTATGCCTTGAGGCGTTTTTCTTTTGGGTCATGTGCATGTTGGCTTGCAGGATTTAGTACAAATGCTATGTCTGGTCTTGAATGAGACAGATAAATGAGTTTTCCCACTAGTCTTTGATATCTGCCTTTGTTGACATCATTTCCTTCGTTTTCTTCTTCTTCTTCTTCCTCTTCATCTTTTTCGTCATTGTTCTCACAAGTTCCCTTGTTATCTGTTGACTCACCTTTCTTTTTCTTGTTTCTCTTTGTTGTGGCTTCTACTGGGGTTGAGCTTGGCTTGTATCCTAGCATCCTTATTTCTCTGAGTAGATCTAGTACATACTTTCATTGGGACATATAAATCCCTCTTTTTGATCATGCCACTTCTATTCTAAGGAAGTACTTCATTTCCCCCAAGTCTTTTACTTAAAATTCTTGTGCCATTTTCTTAATTTGCATGCCATGTTTGGTTGCTTGGTTAGAAATCCTGGTAGAATTATCATGTATACTTCCTCCTCCAAGTCATCATTCAGGAATGCATTTTTTACGTCTAATTGGTAGATAGGCCAATCTAAATTGGCTGCCAATAATATCATAATTCTTACAGTATTTAGTTTGGCCACCGGAGCAAATGTCTTTGTATAGTTTGTTTCATAGACTTGAGAGAAGACTTTTGCTTCAAGTCTTGTCTTGAATTTTTCAATAGTTCCATTTGTTTTGTATTTTATGGTGAACACCCATTTGCATCCCACTGCCTTCTTTCCTCGTGGTAAAGCAGCTTCATCCCATGTGTTGTTCTTCTTTAATGCATTCATCTCTTTTAGGACAGCTTCTTTCCACTTGGGAGACGCTAATGCTTCTTCAATGCTTGTGGGAATTTTTGTGGTGTCAAGATTGCTTATGAGTGATCCATATTATGGTGATAGAGTTTTGTATGATATGTAGTTTTCTATTGGATATTGTGTACAGCTCCTTAGCTTTTTTCTCAGAGCTGTTAGAAGATCTAGATTTGATTTTATGCTTCCTATATGGTCTATATCATTCACACTAGATTCATCAAATACCTTGTTTACAGGACCTGTCAACTGTTTGGGTGCTTGGTGTTGCTCAGTGCTTGATGACCGTTGTGTAGGTTTTGTTCTTCTGTTATATACTTTGTTAAAGTCTTTATTGGGTTTATCTTAGCCTTATTCTCCCCCTTAGTTTGAAATTGTTTTTCTTCCTCAAAGTTTTGTTCAGTTTGAAGGTTAAGAGGCAGCTCATAGGTAAAGTTGACTACCAGAATCCTAGGTTGCAATTCACTTAGGTTCTCCCGCTGAATT